TACATCACACCTGTAACGAGACACATCACACCTGTAACGATACATCACACCTGTAACGAGACACATCACACCTGTAACGACACATCACACCTATAACGAACCATCACACCTGTAACGCAGAGATGCCAACACATATTTGAGCAATCTGTAGTTTCTGGCCATCAAATTAGTAGTTCGAGGGTCACGTAGTGACCCGAGTTTGCTAGGGGGGTCCGGCATGCCCCCCGGAAAAATGTTTGATTCTGAGATGCAATTTCCTGCATTCTAGGGGTCAAAAATGACAATAAATTGACAAAAAGTGACAATAATTGAAAAAAAAAATTTCGATCACAGTGAAATTCGTAGTTTGATACAAACTGGTTATAGTGGTGAAAAAGAAATAGAAATTCGTATAAAATATGGATAAATCGTAGTGGTTGGCATCTCTGTTCTGGTATCTCAGTAGTGGTGTGCATAGGAAGAATTTGGGGGTGGTATAGCTTATCGAGTAGGATGTGTGTAGCATATAACCAGTCTACCATGGCAATGTACCGGTAGACACTGCATGATGTGATGATCGCAGGCACTTAGAGCGTTTCAATAAAATATAATGCTTTATAAATACGAAATCTATTTACTACCAAAGTCTTAATGTTTCTACACTCTCTTTCACCTATTATTGCCGACAATTTCCTGTAAATGCCGTCCAAATGCTCATCTACAACAAACACTGGCTGCCGCCAAGCGCCATTGCTGCTGCTGCACACTGACATAGCAGGTATAGATATATTCGTAACCGAGCTGTGTCACGCGAAATCACACAAAGACTGACGAAATTCTCGCGTTCGCTCCCGTTGCACAGTTTATGTAAATGGCTGCAAGTACAGGGCTATAGTAGACTGGATAGATTTCGTATTTATTTAGCATTATATTTTATTGAAACGCTCCAAGTGCCTGTGCCTGTGGTGATGATGTAGCTCCAAGAAACGGTATTGCTAGGATTAGAATACCGTTTTAAATTCTTGCCCATAAATCCTTGTAGTTGGCTCGGTATCCAACCATCGACACAGCTAGCCTCACATGTTATAGCTCAAACGAATCTATAAACCTCTGGCTTGCTCGCGGTAACTGGGCGCTACTTATTTATCGAGTTATGCCTTTTTTCTGAGATGAATTGGATTAAAACAACCAGACAGCCGCCATGTTCAGTGCGACTAAAATCGGCAATAGACCTGATTTTCAGAGTGAGTAGGCCTAAACACAAGGCAAGTACATATCTTCACAATGATAATTATTAAGTTAATTGTTGTAGATTGATGTTTCATGGTTCTCAATGTTTTAATATTTATATATATACGAGTATATGATGCTTATTTATGCTCGCGCCAACGCGAGTGGCAACGCTATGGTATGTTATGTCGTTTCGGGTTTTCCGCATGCCATTCCAAAGCATGCGCACTGGAAACATGGCGGCTGGCGGTTAGTTGAAATTTCGGTTTGGCTCTTGAAATTTACACTGTGCACAGCGAACTGAGGTAGGCCCCCTATACACCGGTTGACAGTTTAACACTGCGCATGCGCTACGCCTAAGGTCAAAGGTCGGGAGGAATTTTTCGTCCCAGAATTGCGAGTAAAATGCACGAACAATGGCGTTAACGTGTAGTGTGAAGGGCTGCTCAAACGGATCGTATTGGCTTAAGAAAGACTTTTAGAGCATGCATTGACCATAATTTGTATCAAAATTTGTAAATCATTTTCATATAGCAAACCTGATGGCAGGTCTTGATGTAATTAATGCACAGCGTGATGTGAGTGCAGGCAGTGCACGTCCAAAAGCATCGTGCTCACTCAAATACTCAGCCACAGCAAGGAGCTAAATATAACAAGGAGAGGAAGCGCCGCGATATCTGGCCCTAATTTGGGTTCGGCAGAGACCCTAGAACAGATTAGTGTTCTATTGTCCCTGGGTTCGGTCTGCACAGCCGTTTCAGCGGATTATGGTCCATAGATGGCGCCCTTGAGGCGAAAAGCACACAGACAATCCGCTTACTCTCCTTGTTATATTTAGCTTCTTGAGCCACAGCACACGCTCTCACGCACACAGCATGTTACACGTACCTGTCCGCCTTCCTTCTTATCCCAGCCTGCACATAAAATGCCAGCACTCAACTGGTCTCTGTACCTATAGCACATCTGTCGAAACAGATTCGCAGCAGTCTTGACAAGGGGTGCTTCCTGAGTCTCTGACCTGCGCATTTGTAAAGGTTGAGGTAGAGGAGAGTGAACGTATGGCTCAATTTATCAGCAATCTTAACCTTAAAGCTAGGATTTCGAAAATAATTTCCAACCAGTCACTTGTTTTCCCCACTTTAGTTTTACAATACTTATTGCTTGAGTAACAGCAACTGCCTATACTAATGCTAACATGTCTTAAAACCTTCGTACTTGGCTATATTCACCCAAAAAACATGCACGATTCGAATTTTGATTACTTGTTTTGATTTCCGCTGGTATTTCTTGCAAATCTCGGACTATCTCGCGATAGCGCGAGATATCGGGCAATTTAAAAATAGAAACAGAGTAAACTACACAGAATTAGATGCCCCTTTGCTTGAATTAGGCTCACTTGTTTTGAAGGCGCCATTTGCAATTAATTGTCGCTATACTCAAACAATATGCCATGGTGTTTTGGCATGTTCAATTCCAATTTTCTATGCTATAACAGAATAAATTCCTACTGTTTTTCAAGTTGGTGTAATCAGTAATATATCTGCTATTAGGTGAGACTATATTTCGCAAATATAATTTTTCAGATTGTGCGTTTTTGAGCAATGATTTCGAAATAAATCCTTTAACAGTATCCTTGTTGGCTACATAAAACTTATTTAATGTTGGGTACACTACCGGAACATTTTATTTTTACTTTAGGTTTGAATTTTGTGCACGTCGCCTTGTGGGCTATCCGATTCCATATTAAGTATCAACCCATGTCACCTCCATGTTAACAATTTTATAAATATATGACTATCACACCGATTCATATACCTTCTCTATAAAGAGGGGTTTGTGAAACAGTGAAATGCCAACAACCAAAACAGAAATCTGACCTTGCTGAAATGAAATAAGTTATCTAAGTGTCTCTACATCTAGCTTATCTAATCTTATCTATATGTCTCACTAGCGTTTAACACAGGCTTGAACTGTACTAGATAGGTCTTGCCGCTAAAGCTATGCTCATCAAACTCGGAAACAATGCCGAATACCCAGCCAGTCCAGAATGTGAAAATATTGGTTTTTACAACATAACCGATAATAAAATCCATACAAATTAGCCAGTCCTGCTCCAGTTACCAATCCTAGACTGGGGAGCGAAACGCTATTTATAATCACCAGGCTTATCTAACAACTGCCATCGATGACGAAGCATTGAGAACAGAAGTGAAACGTCATAGGAAGTTAGCGGCTCTTACTAGGAGCGTTCACGTTGCACCCCCTGCCAGGTTTCCCACATGCGAATCGTTCTACCACACTACACTACACTTGGCTAGGTTGGACTCTGCTGGCTAGTAGTGTTAGTGAGTATTTTTAGTTAGGAGCTAGTTAGTATGTAGTGACCAGAGAAGAAGAAGAAGAAGCGGCTCTTACTGCTGAAAGTCGAGATGGTAAGCGACTATGTCAGAGACCGCTTGAGTGTCGGCGGCGGATCCAGAGCGACAGCAATAGATGTGATCAGACACCCGCGTCAGCTTGTCTGTCACTCGGTTCGCAATGTACGCCCTGCCGACAAACAGATTTCCAACGATTAGCACCGATAGCAATATACGTCAGGGTTTAGTCCTACTTTGGGACCCTGGCACAGAAACTGCCATGACCATCACCTTATCCCCAGCCCAAAATCATAAGCCATAACCTAAGCCTATGTTTACTCCTAAGCCAACCCTATCCTTACCACTAACATAACCTTATCTTCATCCATAACCTAACCTTATTGCTTGCCATAACCTAACCCTATCCTCATCCATCCATAACCTAACCTTATTACTTTAATTGCTATAACTGAAGCTGAACACGTACCGTATTTACCTGTCCAAACTTTGGTGATTGAATATAAATGAATAAAATTATAAAAACCAGGCCTTCCCCTTTTTATTAAATTAAAAATACTTTATTTTAGACGGTGCATTTGATCTGTCTATTTGATTAACTTTGTCTCTCTTCGTCTTCGATATAGTCGGACGTTGAAGACTATAATCTTTACGGGGTTACGCTTCTATTGTAATAAAGTTTAGTAGATGTTCGCGTTAACAGGTGGCGGTAGTATAGCTAATGTGAAACCGGACATGATACCGGATCTAAAATATTCTCGTGATACATTTGAGCGAAGCAACGTAGTTTAGGGCCTACTAGTGAAAGTGTAAGTTGTTTTCCATTATTATATACATGTCAATATTCATGTTAAACTGTTGGTGATTTGTATGTGTGACAGTGATGATTTAGGAACGTTGGCATTTGTTTGATAGAAATCCCAAGCAGTTTTGGGCCTTTGGCTTTGGCCCTGCCTAACTTGCCGAACTGCCCTAAGTCGGTGAGTAAAGTAACAAAGGCGATACGAAAATCTCTCGCTCGCATAACTCAAGAGTGAGTAATACCAGTGGCAGTAGCTTGTACTGAACCGGACCTCAAACGGCGATGTGGTAACTTTTGTACCCTAATAGTAACATGTAATTCGTATTAAAATATCTGCGATCACTACTAGTACTATTGTACTAAATAGTAAACTATGAGTATGAGTAAACTATGAGTATGACTCATTATTATGTATCAACTATCATTGTCAAATTTGTATTGTAATTTGTATGCTTGTCTAAGTCTAAACTTCAGCAATGGGGAAAATGCTAGGCCTATTTAGATTTGTCATATTATTGGCTATTTTTACTATTATTATTTTTTCCCTTAGGTATCACAAGTGATTCACAGATTTCTGTGTATCATCAACTTGATGCACAGACTTTCCGAATATCAAAGGAATGATGGCATCAAGAAATCACTCATAATCCCGAAGTTCACTACCGTTATAAGTATTACCGCGTTGAGCGCTTATGAAGTTATGTTTCACGAAAGTATGTTAAGGTTAGGGTTAGGGTTACAGGTTAGGTTTTGCATCCTTCCTTGATATAGGAAAGTCTGGCTCAGTTGATGGATACACAGCCATCTGTGGCATCACTTCGTAAATACCTAAGTGCCTAAAGTGAATTTGCACCGTGTGACTTGGAACGTCCTCAATGTAGTGATGGCATGCATTTTTTTATGCGGGCAGGTGGCTAGAGGTACTGTAGCTAGTCGGTCGTCCGTGAAGGCCACCTTTTTGCGTTTAGGTTAGGGTAGGATTAGGTTAGGGGTTAGTTTTAGGTAGTGGTAGGTAGGGTTAGGTAGGGTCTAGTCTCATCTAACTCTCAAATACGTTGAATTATTCGCCAAGGCGTTATTGTCGAATGCTGGGCCGATGCATGTTCGGCGCACCGCCGCATGCTTTGGTCTCAGTTAAGTGTGAAGCGAATGGACTG